ATTGTATTATTATTTATAGTGACGGATGTATCATCTGTACAAATGCTTCTTCCTAAACCAGGACCAACATTCACAAAGAACCTATTAAACTTATCAACTGCATCCTCCATTCTGTTGACCGGTGTGTCATTATTCATAAAATATTGGGGGTAGTTACTCTTGCTGGGACTATTTCTAATCAATTTATTTAATATATTCCAAGTACCTCTCATGTTGTGTGATGTAGAAGATAATTATCAAAGTATGTAATTATGTAAGAATGTTAACAGTTTGTAATATTTTTTAGTATATCACTAGAGTGGTGTAGAACAAAATTATCTATGTAGAGATACTGCTTGCAAACCAATGATGTAAGATGATGTCATGGGGTAGGACTGGATAAGTCTGACTTCTTCCTACTCCATTCAAGCATGTACTAGGTATAAGCAAATTGATATTGGATTAGCATTTGTTGGATATGTGTGAAATTATGTGTGTTGACATATCAACTGTCTTTACATGCTTGAAAAAATAAATCAATCAATCAAAAATCAAAAAAAAAAAAAAAGCTCAATCCTCCCAACCTGCCTCACACTTTGTGTGCCCTCTTACCCCTTTACACCTTCTTAAATCCTGCCCTCCCTCCCTGCTCTGCTTTACGTTTCCCACAGCTTTTTCATTGTCCATATAACCTCTTCAGTAGTCTGCCCTCCAGCCCCTCATATACTTACTGAGTATAATGATCTTTAGTTGCCCAGGTGTTCTTGTCTTGTGATAGTAGTTTGTTCCTGCACGGCACCCTGCAGGAGTGCTGATGTACCGGGGTTTTCCTCTGGATTTATTCATGGCTCAGTGCTATGCCAGTACTGATGACCTCGGCAAGGGCCGCCAGATGCCCGTCCACTATGGTTCCAAAGATCTCAACTTTGTCACCATCTCCTCTCCCCTGGCCACTCAGCTTCCTCAGGGTGAGTTGTACACGTTGACCTCTGCGGTCTATATGAACATACATGTGCCTGTAAATATATATATGTATATATTCTTGCTCAATGTGTCTATTTCAGCGGCCGGAGCTGCATATGCAATCAAGAGAGAAAACATGAATCGTGTTGTAATCTGTTATTTTGGAGAGGGAGCAGCCAGTGAAGGGGACGCACACGCCGGCTTCAACTTCTCTGCCACTCTTGAGTGCCCGCTGATATTCTTTTGTCGCAACAACGGCTACGCCATCTCTACTCCAACCAATGAGCAGTACAGGGGAGATGGCATTGGTAAGAGGCCTTGGTGTGCATTTGTCATATACGAGATTTGCAGCTGTGTTTATGAAACTACCTTCCATTCTTTCTCTGAATGAACAGCTGCTCGTGGTCCAGGTTATGGCATGTTGTCCATTCGTGTCGATGGTAATGATGTGTTTGCTGTGTACAATGCTACAAAAGAAGCGCGCCGCAGGGCTGTGGCTGAAAACCAGCCCTTCCTTATCGAGGCAATGACCTACAGGTTAGTGAGTGATTTGTGACAACTCTGCAGAATTCACAAACTACAACTGAGCTGTGCTCTATTACAGAAATATCATGAATTCTTGTGTTTGGGTTTTTATATTTAAAGCAGACATTGCATTCTGTTCAGTAAACACAGTGACCAACTATCTATCTTGTTATGAAGATAGAGCCTGGAGCACACTTATATAAAGCCACTGAAGAAACCTAATTCTGTTCATTCTTCAGAATTGGCCACCACAGCACCAGTGATGACAGCTCAGCTTACCGCTCAGTGGACGAGGTGAATTACTGGGACAAGCAGGACCATCCCATCTCCAGGCTCAGACACTACATGTTGGCTCACAGTTGGTGGAGTGAGGACGACGAGAGGAGCTGGCGGAAGCAGTCTCGCAAGATGGTGATGGAGGCATTTGAGAAGGCCGAGAAGCGCCTGAAACCCAGTCCTGAACTGCTCTTCACTGATGTGTACCAGGAGTTGTCGCCCAGCCTGAACAAGCAGAGAGAGTCCATGTGGAGGCACCTGCAGCAGTACAAGGAGCACTACCAGCTTGACCTTTATGATAAATAACTGTACTGACAGGATAGAACGACTCGTGATCTGGCAAACAAAGTTGAGACTGGGATAGACCATTGCACAATTTATGTGTTCATAAAACTGTAGTTTTGATGTGCGTTATCTTTCCATACAACAAACTGACATTTTCATTGCACTTCCTGCTGCTAGGTTTATGGTATTAATAGTTACCAGTAGTAAAGCTCTTCTATAAATACTAAAATCAGAATGCTGCTTCATATTATTTCCAAGCTCACCATGGTTCCTTTTGTAAATGCAGCAAAATAAGAGATTAAGTTTGAATTCATTATGCACAGAATGGGAAATCAAATCGAGGAAGTTCACCTCTCTTCAATTATAGGATGTTACTGTTTGCCTTGTGTCATTGAGGCAACTCCTCTAATTTAGTGTACACACCCAGATTTTAGATGGCTTTGTATACTGTGATGCTTACACTTTTCTGTAAATCCCAGAACTGAACAGCCATCTAACTCCTGATGCGTGTTTGGTGATTTGTGGAAAATAAACTGTGAAACCTTAAGTTGTCTTGGTTTACACAAAACATACGCCGTTTTATGAAGAAAATAATCAGATGCTTCCTACCGTAGACATTGGTTGGCGCGGTTGGCTCCTTCTTCTTGCGGCTGTCAAAGAGACTGTGCGTTACAGCAACTGCAGACTCTCTGCCTCCTCCCACCGGCCGCCCCTGAGCTCTGGCTGCTGGGATAGCCTACTTCCACCGTCAAAAAGCCCGGTACGATGGTACCGACTGTCTTTCTACGGTCCACAGCGGAGAGACAGATCCCCGTACAGCTCGGAGCTACCGAGAGCGCAGGGCGTCACCCCGCCGTAGGCCTGCCCCTTAATCCAGGCAGTTCTGTCGTGGATGGCGTTTCTAGAAAACTGGAACATAGGACTTTTTGTTATATGATGAATATATTAAATTCGGCATATGCCTGACACCAAAATTAAAACATTAATCATTCTTAAGTTTAAATAGCTCAGTCAGTACTCAGAACATATTGTGACCTGAAATACTCCAAAGATGGACCATTTATTTACTGGACAGCAGAGATGTAGACATAATCAAGTTTGACATGTTTTTGAAATGTTATTTCGAAAACGTGAAAAGAAAACAATCATACAATGAGACAAAAGAAAGAAGAACCAGAACAGTATCTCCTCATTCTGCAGCTTAAACCTCATGTCCAGACAGGCCCTCACACTAACACCCACGCAAAAGCAGACAAGGCAGATCATTTGCTTCCCTGGTTATTCATGAACAGTATAATCACATTTATCAAGGACCAGACAACAGGTAGGCTAACAGCATATTGGTTATTACATCTAACCTGTTGCCTCAAGAATGCTCAAAACTCCACTTGGTGCCATTCTTCCACATTTTACAGTTTTTGCTGCAAATTATTTACTGTATAATATCAACAAACTATATCTCCACTTAGCTGTGAAAGTATATGAGCACAATGACAAAACAGTGCACATGGCAGAACAGGTTTAGTAGTCTGGGAAATGTATTCAGTAGTAGCTTATAAAGGGCCTCACAAATGAAAGTAATGCAACTTAAAAAAGTGCCTGAAAGCAAGAGTAGGCTCCACCTCAGATGCTAGTGTGCTGTCACAGGACAAGTTGTCACACAGGAATAAGACACCCCTCAGCATGTTCAGCAAGTAATTCTTGTTGCATGACATACTGGTTGGGAATTCAACCACACGCCCATAATTCATCGAAAGCCATGGTCAAAACACAGCTCAGTTTACAGTAATTTTAGACAGAATGCTGTTGTGTTCATTCATTCATTCATTTTCTACCGCTTAGTCCCTGAACGGGGTCACGGGTGGGGCCGAAGCCAATCCCGGGCAGCAATCGGGCGAAGGCGGGGTACACCCTGGACAGGTCGCCAATCCATCGCAGGGCCAACACATAGACGAACAACCATACACACGCACACACATGCACACACACACGCACTCCTATGGGCAATTTAGAGACACCAATCAACCTAAGCTGCATGTCTTTGGACTGTGGGAGGAAGCTGGAGGACCCGGCTTATTTTTATTTAATCTCAATAGAAATGTCGACTTTTGAGTTAATGACATCTAAAATTGGATGGATGGATGGATTGCCTTGGTGTTTAATTGTGACAGTGTTTGGAAGTAATTAAGATCAGATTGTTTAAAAGTTGAAAAGGATGGTGATATTTTTTTTTTTAGAAATTTAATTTTATGGATGAAGAATTTGGCCAAAATAATGAACAGATTAATCATAAAATTTTCATTGCTAAAGAACCGGGATTGTCAAAAATTGATAATATGTCATATTCTTTAAGTACAATTTGCCTATCAAGATCATTTTTGACATAAAAACAAAAGCCAGTCCAAAATACTGTCACATGTGCACAATGAAAAAAAAGATGCTCTAGAGTTTCATTGTTGCAAAAGGAGCATTTGTTAGGACTAGCTTACGAAAAAATAAACATGTAGACATATTTGCTAATGCAGATTATAATGTCAATCCTAGAATTTCATATGTTGGTAAATGTTGATAATCTGAAGCCAATGCAATCAGACCTTACACCCACACACTATTCTCGTGCAGACAGTTTAGTCATCTCAGTATTGTAATACTCTCCGTTCCTACACAAGCAGCCAGACGTTCTTGCGGTATCAATGTCCTTTGTATCTGCACGACTTCCTGTTGTTCTGAGTCTCAGACACCTCTCACAGCATTTCATGGGCACAGGTCAAGTCTTTCTAAAGGTCAAACAGATTAAACAATTATTTGAACAGTTTTGCAAATACATAACATAGCACTATATCATTTTATCAAGAATTTCTTTCTACACCATTTATGTTTAACAGCTGTTGTTGTTCTTGGAATGAGGGAGTTTCTTATAAAGATGTTGTTGAATCTTTTATCAAAGATAGAAGATAGATATCTAAATTGATAGAGTTGTGTATGTTTGAGAAGGAGCGTGCTAAACAGAGAATGCCAGACGGAATTGCATTAATAACAGTGTTATTCTCATGCTGGGAGACAGGAACCCTGTATTTAGCTATGAACTGCTCATATAGAACTCCATCACAGGTAAACAGCTGCTTTACAAGTACAATGGTAATGTTTAACCAGTTTTAGTTCAGCCTGTTGAAGCCCGAGAGACGCTCATAAACACTCATAAAGATGCTCTAGAGTTTCTAGCTCATTGTTGCAAAAGGAGTTTGAGCGTGCGTGTAACACACGCACGCTCAAACTCCAGCAACTCCAGTGACTTCCAGTAATTGGAGAAGGGAGGCGCAGCAGAAACAGCTCTGTGAGTTCAGACGCCATGTTGAGTCGACAGCAGGAAACTGAGGCAGG